GTAACGGAGTACCCCAAAATCTTTTATCAGTCTAAATTTACCAATTAAATGCACTGCAACGTTTCAACCAGTCAGCGGTTTCCCTAAATCTACGACGAGTAGAATCAGAACGAGACCAATTGCGTGCAATGGTTTGTTATGTATGCACTTGTCCGAAACATCTGCCTCTATCCCAGCGTGTGGTGGATATATTGACAGTTGTCAGCTGGAGTAGCTGACATCTGTCCTAATAGCTATCAGAGTCTGAAATAGAGACGGATATTTCGGTCTATGTATGCACGTGTGCACTCAGCCAAACAGAAACCTATGTTAGAGCATATGGAAAGAAACCATACTTGCTGATAGATACATCACATTGACAGCTGGTACAGAACGTCACCCATTGCATAACCATTTTCTGGTAGGCTACAGAACAACGACAATGAAATATGTAAGACAAAAAAAGAGTTGATAGGAGATTGCAAGATTTTTGATGAAGAAGACTTCTGTAACAACAATGTTAAATTCTACTCAATTCGCCTAACATTAGGACTTTAAATAAGAGTGACCAATATGAAGAAAAGGTTGTGGCTACGTATTTTCAAAATTAGAAACTTTTCTAACTGCTAACCTATTGGAAATTCTTGCGAGATCCCAAAAACGAAAACCCGAGAAAAAATGCTGCGCCTTCTACAGCCAATTTTCTACTTTTTGCACATTTTGCACATTTTGCACCGTGTCACTGTCCGTTTTGCAAACATATGCCATGAAAATACGTCATTTAACATTCACCTAATAGCGACACGCTAAGTATGGTCATGTAAGATAATATGTGACATGATTATGCAGTTTTGGCTGGTGAGCGTGACCAGAAGTGAAAAAAAGAAAAGAAAAAAAAGTCATTTGCAAAACAAAGAAGTACTACAATAAAAAAAATTGTCAGTTGCAAAAATATGGACATTTCGAAAACAAAGCAGTGCGTTCTAATGTAATGTAATGTAATGTAATGTAATGTACTAGTCAGCATTTCAACTCGGCGACAAAATTTTATCGGCGAGTTCGTGGACAGAAGTCAACTCATTCCACAACAGTCATATGATCAAAGTCATATGATTATCTATGTGTGTTGTTTTTATCAATTGAATAATTGAGAGGTTTATCGTGATTCAGTTTAGACAAGTTCTATTATTTTTTGCAAATTCAGAATATTGAGTTAACATTTCTGGTGTGTAATATCAGATACCCGAAAGTTTATATTTCTGGTTCACAAATTGAAAATGAAATGAAATGAAATGAAATGAAATGAATGGAGTTTTACGTCCTACTTTTCTGCACAATGTGGGCTAATGAAGACGGGCAACGCCATGCAGGGTGCAATGAGGGAAATTTTGCCAGGACAGCGGCATTAGCCTGCTCTTTTTCGATTTCCAACTGTCGAGGGATCTTTAACGTGCACAGCCTGTAGCACACGGGGCCTCGGTTTATTGTCCCATCCGAACGACTAGACGCTTTTTCCATGTCAGTCC